TGCATTGTAATTATTTCTCTTGCGGGATCATTCGTTCTCCTTTCGGAAACGAATCTAACTTGGATGTTTAATTCCAAGCCCCGCGGGGGCTTTAACTGCGCAGAGAGGACTTAAACCCGGCTCGAGGACTTTGCTCTGCGCTGCCTCTGCCGTGTCCCCCGGAGATGGGCGCGGAGGCTGCCCCGGAGCCCTGCGGCACCGGCGTCTCTGCCCTCGGCGCAGCCCCCGGGAAGGGCGCCGCGGGGCCCCACGCGTGTGCGGGGCTCAGCGCGGAGCTCCCCCTTCGTGTGCGCGGCGCTGGCCGCTGGGGAGAGGGGTCAACCCCGCGGAGGCGGTCGAGCGCTCCGGACTGGTGTTAAACTGCTCTGATTGATTAACACAAATATACACGTGCTACGAAATTAGCCCTGGCACGTCAGAAAAGGGACATTTTCTTTGCATCGGCAAAGGACTTGGGAGGGCAGAGCTGAAGGGGAGCCCGGGGGTTGATCTGCACACAGACTCCACGGCATCTCAAGAAGGCAGTCGCCTGACTTGCCCCTGCAGCTCCTGGTAGAGCTTCATCCTACTTAGTGCAAATGTTTGAGTCAGTGAGTAGAGGAAAACAGAAATGCTTCCAAATACTGAAGCTAGACAAATAGATAGACAGATATACACTTCTCGAGGGGAGAGAAAGCAAGCGAAAGTGTGAGAGAGAGAAAGAGAGACAGACAGAGAAATAGAGAAATAGAGAAATAGAGCAAGAAAGAAAGAAAAAGAAAAGAAAAAAGGAAAGGGAGACAGGAAAAAGAAAGAAAAAGAAAGGGAAAGAAAGAAGGAAAGAAAGCTTTTTGGAAAGAGAAAGAAGAAGAGAAAAAGAGAGAAAGGGAGAACGAAAGGAAGAAAGGAAGAAAGGAAAGGAAAGAGAGAGGGGAAAAAAGAGAAAGTGAGAGAAAAAGAAAGAAAATAAAAGAAAGAACAAGGAAGAAGGTAAGAAAGAAAAGAAAGAAAGAGAAATACAGAAGGGGAGAAAAGAAGAGAGAGAAAGGGAGAACGAGAAAGAAATAAAGAAAAGGAGAAAGAAAAAGAGAAAGAGAAAAGAGAGAAAAGAAAGAAAAAGAATGAAAGAGAAAGAAAGAGAAATGAGAATGAGTGAGAGAAGGAGACAAGAGAGGAATAGAGAGAGAAAGAAAGGGAGAAAGGAGGAGAGAGAGAGAGAGAAAGAAAAGAGAGAAAGAAAGAAAGAGAGAGAGAGAGAGAGAAAGAGGATAAAGAAAGAGAGAGAATGGAGGAAAGAAATTCCTGCAAACGAAAAATGGGACACAGACAATACAAATTTTCCCTGCAAGGCTGGGATGAATCGGAGGAAAATGCTCCCAAATGCGCTAACAAACCGCCAGCAGTGACTGCTCGCCTCTCCTCGGAGGCTGCCGGCTGCTGCATTTACCTGCTT